CTGTGTGTATGATTTATTTCACTTAATATTATGATCTCGAGGTCTGTTTATTTTCTTACAAATGATGCAAATTCATCCATCTTTATAGCATAGTAGTAATTCACTATGTTTAACTGCTACATTGTCTTCATCCATTAATTTGTTGATGGACACACAGGCTGCTTCCAAGATTTGGCTACTATGAATTCTGTTGCTATGCACATGGATATATGTGTATCACTGAAACGTGATGCTTTTAACTCTTTGGGAATATATCTAGAAGAGAAATAGTTGGGTCAAATGGAATTTCTACTCATATTTTTTGAGGAATCTCAGATTTCCATAGTGACTGCACCAATTTACATTTCCATCAACCACATAGAAGAGTTCCCATTCTTCTGCAGTCTCTCCAGCATTTGTTATTATTACTTAATTTCTTGGCAGTAGGTATTCGTTTTAGAATAAGATGAAATCTCAGTTTTAATTTGTATTTTCTTAATGGCCAAAAATATTGAACAAATTTTCATGTATTTGCCATTTATACTTCTTTTTATTAGAAGCATCTACTAATGTCAGTACTAATGTTAGGTTTTGTATTTGGGAGGTATAACTAATTTGAATTCTTTACATATTCTAGATGTTAGTCATTTTTCTGAGAAATAGATGGCATAGACCACCACACCCAGCTTTGTGGGTGATTTCTACTTTCAATGCCCAATAATCCGATAATATAGATGGAATGATTTTGATTCTTCTGTATATAGTTAAGCATACTTTATGGACTAGTATATGGAGAAAGTTCTATGTGCTGCTGGAAGAATGTGCAATAAAGTCAAATACCCTGTAGATAACTATTATGTAAGTCTAAAGGTACAGTTCTGCTCTGATATTTCTTTGCAAATTTCTTTCTTTGGCTTATCTCTTTGCAAAAGTAAGGTATTGAAGTCACCCACTATGATTGTTTGTGTTCATTTGATCTTTTATGTGCAGCAGTGTTAGTTTTATGAAATTTGCTGCACTGACATTTGTTGCATACAGCACTACCTAGGTTCATAAACTTAATTCTTTCCACAATTTTGGTGGTACACTGAATTGGAGAACCGAATCAAATTCAAGGTAGGTTCAATGGTGACTTTATGGGGAAATTTGATTTGATTCTCGCCCAATTTGGTTTGTGACCAGAATCATGGCAAGAATTAAGTTCATGAACCAAGGTACCACTATATATATTTATAAATGTTATCTCTTCCTGTTAAATTGTTCCATTTACTAATACATAGTGATTATCTGTGCCTTTTCTGATCAGTTTGAGTTTGAAGTTTATTTTGTCTGGGAATAAAACTGCTATCCCAGCTTGCTTTTGAGTTCTTGTTGCGTGAAATATTGTTTTCTATCCTTTGATTTCTAGTTTACAAATTTCATCTTTGGCCAGGGATTTAGTTCAGCAGCATAAGTGCCTGCCTGGCAAGCACGAGGTCACAAGTTCGATCCCCAGTGCTTAAAAAAAAAAAAAAGTTTCATCTTTGATTGAGTTCTGAATTTTGATCCATTCTGCCAACTTCTGCCTTTTCACTGGGGAACTGGGGCCATTTACTTTGAGAGTTGTTACTGAAAGATACTAACCTATTTATTCTTACCACTGCATTATTTTTCTTGATGCCTTTATTTTTCCCTTTTCATTTAACTATTCACCTTGTTTGATGTATTCACTCCATCTGAGATCTTTCCTTTGTTAGATTCATTTTCTCTGTCCAAGACATTGAGTATTTTATAGAGTGCTGGTTTGATGTTCATGAATCTCTTAAGGCATTGTCTGTCACAGAAAGTCCTTACTTTTCCATCAGTTGTGAAAGATAGTTTTTCAAGATATACTAGTCTGGGTTGGAAGATGTTTTCTTCAAGCCTTGAAACACTTCAATATTTCATGACTTTTAAAAGTTTATGTTGAGAAATCAGCTATGATTCTAATAAGTTTACATTTACAAGAAACTTTATGCTTTTTTCTGACACTTTTTCAGATTCTCTTTGCTGCACATCTGAGAATTTGCCTATGATATGTCATAGGGAGCTTCTATTTTCAATGTAGTTATTTGACATTCTATGGGCTCTATGTTGAGCTCTCTCCTTATACCTGGAAAGTTTTCTGCTATGATTTCTGTAAATAGACTTTTACCACATGTGCTGTCTCATAATTTCCCTGTAACTTTAATTAACCTTAGGTTAGTCTTCTTAGCATCATTTAGTAATTGTTCAATAGATTTTTCTTCCTCCCATATCATTTTAATGCTTCTATGAGTAAATTATCATGCATTACATTTTGTCAATTTCTGAAACCTTATCTTCAAATTGGTCATTTCTGCTATTTTTGAATTTTATAGGATTCTTTATTTCTGTGACTTCTGGTTTGTGGTTTTTTGTGGCATCTTCAACAAATTTGTCACTCATATTTGGAGCCATTTTGGTTAGCTCTTCAAATAGTTGCTTCTCCAGTAATAACATTGGTTATTTTGTATGATATTTCTGCTACTATTCTATGTCATCTTTGAACTTGTCAAGTTTCTTTATATTACTTTCAATCATTTTGTACAGCACAGATTTCTGGTGTTTGTTTTGCTGTCCATCTGTGCTCCTTGGGTCTGTATTGGGGGATTTGGGATTCTTTGGGGGCATTTTGCTGTTTTATTTTTTCATGTTTTTATTTTGCACATATGTGATGAGGTTTGAGGGAAAGTAGAATGGATAAATTCTATTGTTGACATGAAGATCTCTTTAGTTACCTTCCATTTTCCAGCGATGTGTTCTTGGCTTTCTTTGTCAAAAAGTATTGTTTACTACTTAAACATACAGTGGACCCTTGACTTACAAATTGAATTTTCTTGCAAGGGCTGGCTGTAACTCAAATTGGTGGTAAGTCAAGACTATTTTTCCCATAAGAAATAAGGGAAATATCCATTTTGCTAGTAGTAATCAGAGTGATTATATAAAGCAGTGACCAAAATCACATCACAAACACACGCATCTGTGCTTAGACTGATGCATATGTATGCTTAAAAATACTCTTCTGAGCTCATGAGGCTTTGTTTACAAAGACTGAACCTCCCAAAACCCTCCTTAATCTTTTCATAATTAAAAACACTGTATAATGTGCATAATTTACAAGAAACACCAATAATTCTCCTAATATAGTCACCAAAAAGTTATAAAATGTGCCTAGTTTACCAGAAAAAACAATGTCATACTATACTCACCATTCAAGTTGACATCATTAGCTTCCAAGAAGGGAAGATGAAATGGAAGGTGTGTGGTTGTTTTTTTAAAGGAAAGTCCCTTTTCATAAGAGCATGAGGAATCTGGCTCTCTGGTGTCTTTTCTCTCCTTGGGAAAGTCTGTAGTCCATTAGGACTTGCTTTTGGCTTACTAGGTCTCAACCATTTTAGGACTAAAACCTGGTCTCAGGTTGTCTGTCTTTCTTTTAACACTTTTCTATTGTGATTTCTTTCTTTACCTTCCCTTCCTTCCTTAGCTGCTTTTATTTTTTATTTTTTTTTTTTTTAGCTTTTCAGGGGTGGGGAGCATTTGGGTAGCAGTAATCAGAGTGATTATATAAAGCACTGACCAAAATCAGATCACAAACACATACATCTGGGCTCAGACTGATGTTTATGTATCCTTACATATGCTCTTCTGAGACCATGAGTCTTTGTTTATAACCGTACAAGTAGCTGGCACTTGGACCATAACTCAAGACTTTGGTGGTAAGTTAAACCTAAAATCCCAGTTATGACGCAAGTTGTTTGTATTGTAAGCCAGTCATAACTGGAGGGCCCACTGTACTCCATTTACTTGGGTTTGATCCTGCAACTGTGTTATAAAAAGAGAATTTCTACTGGTTATAAGAGCATCAACTATTTGATCAGAGACAGAGACAGGGAGAGACACAGAGAAAAGAGAGAAAGAGATTAAAGAGAGATAAATAGGAAGTAGATAGAAGTTCAAATACTTACCCAAAATACATATTTCATTGTTTTAAAAATACTGCAACATATATACTAATTGGTTTTATTTATACTAAAATTTTATCTGAGTTCAATGAAAAAACAGATGTTATCGATTTCTTTTTTCTAAGAATCATTTTGGTCTATGTCTTGTACTATTTTTAACATAATAGTAGTGCTCGCTTGGGCAACACATATATTAACATAATAGTATACACAGCAATAACTATTGTTACACTCTTATTATTAGTTATGAAAATGCATTTTCCTAGAATCATACCATAATACCAATACAACATATCAGAACCTGTGGGACATAATGAAACTGTTCAAAGAGGGAAATTTATTGCTGCCAGTGTTCACATTAGAAAAACAAAGCAACCTAATGATGCACTTTGAGATACAAGATAAGCAAGAACACTGCAAACTCAAACCATTTAAAGAGGAAAATCATAAAGATCAGAGCAGAAATAAAATTAAGACTAAAATAAATACAAACAACCAATGAAGTGATGTAATGGTTCATATCTAGATGCCTCCTGAAAGCCTCCTCATAGGTGGAGCTTTGGAGAGGTTATTGGATGATGGGGACATAATATTCATGAGTGGTTTAGTTTACCCATATTCAGAATTTTTTGGTAGTGGTTGTTTTGTTTTGCTTTTAGACTTTTTTTTTGACACAGAGTTTTACCATATAGCCCAGTTGGTTTTGAACTGACAGCATAGCCCAGGCTGGCCTCAAATTTATAAGGTCCTCCTGCTTCAGTCTCCTGAGTGTTGGAATTACAACCATGTACCATCATACCTGGATTCAGATGTTTTTAAACTTAATTTATTTCTTTTCCTTTTTTGTAAAGAGGAATTAATAGGACAAAGAAAATTTATTAAGCTTCCTGGTTAGAAATTTGATAATCTTTATTACCAAATAGATCATTGCCTCTGCTTTTATCCCAATGTCAAAAGTAATTTTTTTAACAATTCTAGTTACCAGCATTTGACTTCACTGATTTCCAGAGAATAACTTACTTTAATATGGTGTACACCATTCAGTTTTCCAATATGCTGTTCAATGGTCCAAACACAGGAATTACATGTCATTCCCTCAACAGAGATGGTAACAGAATTCACACTAATATTTGCATCCATTTTGATTTCTTCTTTACATTCCTGTTAGAAACAATCAGTCCATTAATTTCAGCTTATTTGGATTACTTCAAAGTAATATTTTTCAATTTTACCCCTACTTCCCCCAATTGAAAATCTGCTAATAATAAATGTCAGAATTCTTTTTTACTTGCTTATGAAAAAAGTTTTCTTCACCTTTGATGAGATAAAAGGGAAGCAGTTTCCATGGCTATGCTAAATGAAAACAACATGCAATATTCAAAAATAACTAGCATTCAGAGAGTGAGTTCCTGTTTACTAAACATTTGTCCATACATAATCCAATTTAATATTGGAAGCAGACAGAATGAAGGAACAAAAATGTCAAAAATTACATAACAATTTCAGAGAGATGGACCAGAATGCACATCTCAGAGAGATGGAAAGGCAGAAGGACCTAAAGTTCAAGCTTAGACTGAGAAATTGGAACTCATGACCTTGTGATTGTCAGGCAGGCACTTATGTTGCACAGCTATATCCCTGACATACAGCACCAATTTTGAAAGTTTTTTGAGACACAATGAACATATCATATAATTTACATATTTAAAGTGTAAAATACAATACTTGTTAGTACATGCACAGACATACACAACCATCACCACAGTTAGTTTAGATCATTTTCATCATCTCAAAAAGAATTCTAAACTCCTTTATTACTTATTCACCACTCCCTAAATCCACCACCCCCAGTCGTAGGCAACCATTAAAATAGTTTCTGTCTGGGGCTGGGGATTTAGCTCAGCGGCATAAGCGCCTGTCTTGCAAGCAGGCAGTCATGAGTTCAATCCCCAGTACCGATAAAAAGGAAAAAAGACAAAAAAAATAGTTTCTGTCTATACACATTTAATCTCACAGGTATTTCATATGAAAAGAATAATGTATGGTCTTTTGTGACTGTCTTTTTTTTTTGAGGTAGCATGTTTTCAATATTTACCCATTTTGTAGCTTGAATCAATACACCATTTTTTATGACTGAAAAATATTCCATTGTATAGACATACTTCATTGTATTTATCCATTTACCAGCTGATAGGCATTTGGGTTATGTCTATTTTTTTGCTATTACATATAACAATACGATAAACATTTATTTCTCCTGAGTAATACTTAAGTGTGTACTTGATGGGTCATATAATAACTGTTTTAATTTCCAGACTGTTTTCCAAAGCAGCTGTACTATTTCATATTCCCACTACCACTGTATGAGGAATCCAATTTCTCTACCTCCTCAGGGCTGGGGATTTAGCTCAGCGGCCTAAGCACCTGCCTTGCAAGTGAGCGGTCACGAGTTCGATCCCTGGTACCGATATTAAAAAAAAGAAAGAAAATACAGCTTTAATCTCTACCTCCTCACCAAACCTTATTATCTCAGTTTTTATTCTAGATATCCTAATGGTATGAAGCAGTATCACATTTGATTTCTATTTCCCTAAGTACTAATGACTTCAAGCATCTTTGCATGTGTTTATTGATAATTTATATTTCTTGAAGTTTTGTGGGATTTGGGCAGGATACTGGGGATACAGCACCAAAGCATGTGCTTTATCACAAAGCTACAGCTTCAGCACCCAAAGACATGTTAATTCGAGTCTTTTATTGTCTTTAATAAAATTCTTTTTTAGTTCCAAGAGTTCTTGATATATTCTGCATATTAACTTATCAAATATGAATTACAAATATTTTCACCTATTCTGACAAGTCTTTCCACTCTCTTGAGAGTGTCTTTTGATGTACAAGTTTTTAAAATTCTGATCACAAACAATTTATCTATTTTTGTTGCCTCTATGCAAATTTTTTATTTTTCTATTTAAAGAAAAAGGAAATAAAAAATAGGAAAAAAGGTAGAATACAGAATTTTAAAAAATTAACATCATAAAATCGCTAGTTGATACATTACATATTGTCATCTTAAAAATAGTTATTAAAGTTACAAAATCAAAGCAGAAAAAGTGGCTAGACACAAACAATGACAAAGCAAACCCTTCTGTTCAATTATCTAACAGAAACTTAGTAATATGGTCATCTATCTTACACATTATACATACCGTTATATCCCTTAGAGCACTTTCTTTCCCTTTCACTTTTACAATATCTACTCTAACTTTTGGATCTTATTACTGTCAGTTTTTATTATTTTTTACACTAGAGAGACAATGTGATATTTACTAATTTGAGTCTTGTTTACTTCACTAATAAGGATATTCTCAAGTTGTCTCCATTTACCTATAAAGGCCTTGAGATCATCCTTTTTATAGCTGAGTAGTATTCCATTATATAAAAACACCACATCTTTTTCATCCACTTGCTATCGCAAATTGTACTACTATGAACACGGGTGCACACATATCACTATGACATGACCTTTTCAAATTTTCTGGGAAAATAACCAGAGGGGAATAGCTGGATTGAATGGAACTTCTAATCCTAGTTTGTTGAGGAATCTCCATACTGATTTGCACAGTGGTTGCACCAGTCTGCACTCCCACCAACAGTGGAGAGGTGTTCTTTTTTCCCCACACCCTCACCAACATTTGTTATCAGTTGACTTTTGGATGGCGGCCATTCTTTCTGAGGTGAGATGAAATCTCAATGCTGTTTAGCAAAGGCAGTTTTGGGAAACAAAGGCAAGACAAGAGGCATCTCAATTCCTGACTTGAAAATATACCACAAAGCCACAATAATAAAATCAGCATGGTACTGGCAAAGAAATAGACCTGATGATCAATGGAACAGATTAGAAGATACAAACACTACTACAAAGACACTCAGCTACCTGATATTTGAGAAAGGGGCTAAATATGCTCACTGGGAAAAAAGATAGCCTCTTTAATAAATTGTGTTGGAAAAACTGGCTTTCCACATGTCAAAGACTGAAAATAGACCCATGCCCATCACCATATACTAAATTAAAGTCAAAATGGATCAAGGATCTAAATATTAAAACAGAAACACTAAATCTCCTGGAGGACAAGGCAGGTAGAAATCTTGGGAGACATAGAGGCAGGCAGAGAATTCATGAATAAAATGCAAACCACACAGGAAATACTTCAAAGAATCAACAACTGGGATGTCATATTACTAAAAAATTTTTGCACTTCTAAAGAAATCACCCACACAGTGAAAAGGAAACCCAAAGAATAGGAAAGAATTTTAGCCAACAATCACTCAGACAAAAGACTTATATCCAGAATATATAAAGAATTGAAAAACATCAAGCTCCCCAAATTCAAAGACCCTCTCCAAAAATGGGCATCAGAGATGAACATACAGTTCTCAGATGAAGATATACAAACGGCAAATAAATATATGAAGAAATGTTCACCATCACTGGTCATTTGAGAAATACAAATTAAAACAGCAAATTTTTAAATACAGAAACTTTTAACATGTTCACACTAAGCCTGTAATGCATAACTCACTGCCTGGCAACTTTGAACCACCAGTGGTTTGTACATGTCCACAGGAAGTTCAAGCCAACAGAAGGTGTTAAAAGACTGAAAGAAAAATTTATCCCTAGGCCTACCTCTCTTGGTTTTAATTTCAACTACAACTACTTCTTAAATATTTTTAATGTACACTGTGACTAGATCTGAAAAAGATTCACAATTATGAATATATTCAGATTATTGGCCATGAGCCAGGCATGATGGCACATGCCTTTAATACCAGCACTTGGGATGCTGAGGCACAAGGATCACTGTGAGTTAAAGGTCAGCCTGAACTACACAATGAGATTCTGTCTCAAAAAAACTGACTTTTAAAGTTACACCTATTCCAAATACAGCAGCTAATAATTTAGGGAGTTCCAGGAAGATGGCAAAGTGTTGAATAGCAGAGAAATAGCCTCTCTGGGGATTTGTTGTTCAGATGCTGGACTACAGCAACATGAGGAAGAAAAGAAGAAGTGTAGTGGTTGCCTAGGAATAAGCAAGGACATTAATCAACAAGGACAATCCACAGGGAGAGTGAAGAGAAACTTCAACAAAGAAGGAGGTCGCAAGTGGTGTTTTCTCCCTAAGTCCTGACTCACTGCATGGGAAGTGCAGCCCAAACCTGCAGATGAACATTGACTACTAGTGACCACAGAGGTCTGCATAGAAAAATGTACCAGTAAACCAGAACAGGGGACATAGTGGACTGCAGTAGCTGGTGAGTTATTCCATTCCAGATATTTTCCAAGAGACTGATATTCTCCAAGAGACTGATTGGCTGATAGCCACTTTGGAGAGGGCCAACTGAACTTATAACACAGACCAATTGCTGCCTCCTTCTAGTGGCTCCCAGTGTCAGGGTGAAGGGGAAGTGCATTGAAACCTGCAAGGGCCCAGGCTTAAGCCAACAGGAATCACATAGTGTTGCAGGCTGATTAATCAATTTATATAGCCTCAAAGCCATAAAGCAGCCTAAATTTCGGTAGAACTAAAAGTGCAGGTTTGCTGAAATTATCCACTATCCTGCTGTAAATCTACTGCTGGCTTGCTGGGATTCAGAAACATGGATCTGGTCTTTCTCTGCCCAATTGATCTACCAGTAACAGCAGAGACACACTTTGAAGTGGACATTTTTTTTCTTCTTCTCTTAATTTTGTTCTTGTTTGGCTTTATTTTCTTTTTTATTGATTGTTTTTCTATATGAGTATGAGTATTGTTTCTAGTTTTTTGTTGCTATTGTTTTGTTTTTTTCTTTATATTTCTTCCTTCTCTTTTTCCCTGCTGTCTTTTTCATCAGTTTCCCAAATTTTGTGCAATCTTCCTTTATCATGCAGTCTCGCTTCAATCACTTCCTCTTGCTCCATTTTTTTCCACTGACACCTTTTAAATTTTTTCCTCTGGGGGTGAAATTGACATTTAAGGACATACATATTTACTGTAAACAATTTTTTGGTTTTAGATTTTATAATATAATCACAAATATACTTTATACAGTGAAAGGTAATAAATAGTTACCAGAGTTTTTCATTTATTAGACTGTTTGATGCTATTATTGTTGCTGATTAACTA